TCAGTTTCCAAGTCTTCCAGGGAGGAAAATGCTATAGTCTACCATTAGCATGTTCTTGGCCCCTGCCTTCCCGCACTGTTTTCTTTATTTTTTTTTTCACTGTTCTCTTTAAAAAAAAGAAAAAGAAAAAAGAAAAAAAAGAACACTTTTCCATGGTTTTGCAGGATAACCAACAACAATGGTGATGACAATAGCTGATATTCTGAGAACCCGCTTTGCCCTAGGGACTGTGCTGACAGCTGAGGGGCTACAGCCATCCTCCTCTTTTCGTTAAACATGACATAATTCAGATCTCAAAGTTGCATTGACAGGTTTCTCCTACAGTACAATACAGGTTCATTCCTGGGCAGGAGGTGGGCTTGGCCACTGAGATTATGGAGATGTGGTGTCACAGTTACCTCTAGACCTTTAAAATCCCTTCCATGTCCCTAATTTCTGCTTTTCTTCTCCGAGATGGAGACACTGGGGACTGGGAATCAGCTGGGAAAATGTCCAGTGGCTCAGTAACCCACCGTGGGTCCCCGGATGACCCTGGACTCAGTTTTTCAGGAGGGACCCTCCACTCCTTACTTACTATGGTCCTACCCTGTGTTGGCACCTGTGGGCTGAGCACCACACACACACACACACACACACACACACACACACACTTATTCCTCATCTTAGCCCCAAATCAACATCATCCACTTTTGTGAATAAAGAAATGAACACTTGTAGAGGTCAAGGGACAAAGTCACATGCAGTGGTGAGCAGCAGTGCTGGGGTCAGAACTCAGATCTCTGTTGGTCTGCCTGCTTCCCGATCTCAGAGCCCATGCTCAGTACTGCCCTGGGACCTGCTATTTTCTTTACTTACTCACTTACTGCCTGGGACCCCACTACCCCCACGAGGGCAGATTCCTACATCTGTCTAGTTCTCCAGTGTCTAGTGCTGTACCTGATACAGGGTAGGCTGGACAGGGCAGAGTAATATTCAAATCTTTGACAACTGGGAGGCCCAGGGCACTGACTATTCAGAATAGCCACTGGTCCAAAGGCAGCTGCCTATTCTCAGAGGGACTGGCAGGGCAGGGGAGGTATCTATATTTTAGAATGTAACTTTTATTATTATTCAGTCATGGCCAGGCTGAACGACCAAGAGAGATGTTTGCTATTCAAAGAACAGCCTGTAGGGGCACCTACCTGGGTGGCTCAGTGGTTGAGCATCTACTTTTGGCTCAGGTCATGATCCCGGGTCCTGGGATCGAGTCCTGCATCAAGCTCCCCATAGGGAGCCTGTTTCTCCCTCTGCCTGTGTCTCTGCCTCTCTCTATGTGTCTCTCATGAGTAAATGAATAAAATCTTAAAAAAAAAAAAAGAAAAAGAAAAAATAGTGTTATACTCACAGATCCCAAGAGGAGAGGGCTTGCCACACCAGAGTCAGTTTAGAGGCAGACGGAATAGGCGGAAATAAGAACAAGGAGCTTTTACTGTGGTTTCTGCAAGAATGAACAGGTGAGGCAGAGTAGGCAGGCTTAGGTTTGGCTTGTTTGAATAATTTCAGCCAGCGTTGGGGCACAGGGGCTGTCTCCTGGCATCTGGCACCTTACCTTGGATGATCAGGGCCGGTGGATAGTGGTTTGGAGAGTTAAGAGTGTGATGAAGAATGTGGTTGAAGTGTGGGCTCTGGATTGGTTGATTTTCCCATGAAAAGTGTGCCTGCAGGTGAGTCCTTTACTATGTGGAGGAATTAGCCAAGCTGGAGAGGGGTGGCCCCTCCAGAGTCAGCAAGCCCTCGGGTGATCAAAGCATCAGAATAAAAAGACATGCTAAATACAGGCCAGGACAACGGGGTCACCTTGGAGGCTCAGGCGGTGTTATTTATCAAGTGATAAACACTGAAGTATTTCAATATTTGGACACCTGGAGTCCCGTACCTGTGCATGCAATTGAACTGATGAAAGGCAAGAAAGGCACTTGGTAATACACCGTGAATTGCTGAATTGGGGGCACTAAGCCTGGAGTCCTACCCCCATCCCGTGTATCTCAGTTATCCCTGGAGAATGTCCACGGCAACGCTGTTGCACGTGGCTACCCTCCCCTTTCCCTCAGGAGCCTCCCAGGTAGCTCGTATCTGCTCGCACCCAGGAAGCCTGGAGCTGGGGGTCTGGTGCATTGACCCTGCTGCAGTCGGGGTGACTCAGCCAACCCTCAGCAACCAGGCAGCAGGTCCCACAGCTGGCCTTGAGCTTCCCACCCCTTCTGACAACTCCCGGGCTCAGGACAATGGGTGGGAAGGGACCTCCTGGCAGCTCCACACCCTGCCAGTTCCAGGTGTTGGCTCATTTAAGAGACAGTATTGATTTTCACATTATGATGCACAACTCGTGAGGCATGGGGTGGGGGCGGGGGGGGGGGCGGAGGGAGAAGCCAGCCGCTGATTCCCGGAATTTATTTCGAGACACATTAATTTGTTTCTTCCCTTCAAGGTCAAATCAAGGCATCTCCATACATCACCATTGGCAGCTGCTGGCTGGCAGGCAGTTGGGAGGGGGCAGAGGTGGGCTGCGAATAAGACTTTCTGGGGAGCTGGGTCAAGGGAATGGGGTGGGGGGAGCAGGTCCCCGGCACCCCATGTTCCAGCTTCATCTAGGAAGTGAGGGTTTAGGAATAATACCCTCTCATGTGGCTGGAGATCTACAAAGGGCCCGGAGTCCTCTATTTTGACGACAAGGCTGTGTTTAAGCTGGAAGCTCCCAGAACTGAAAGGAGCCAGGTTTCTGGGGTTTGAGATCATGCATTTGGCCTAATTTTCCAGGGTGACCCACACTCACCATTCATTCGCTCAGTACGTATTTATTCCTTGATGTGCCAAACATTGCACTTGGCACAGAAGACACAGAGGGTGGGTTCGCTGCCCTTCGCACTCGGGGGCTCACCATGCATAAGCCCAGAAGTGGCAAACATGGAAATAGTGGCTTTGTTTTGCTCCCTCTCGCAGCTACCCTCACAGTGTATAGACACGGATCTGACTCCCAGTACGACACATCATATGTGGTGGGTGCTCGGTAAGTATTTGTTGAACAAACATCACATGACTGAGATGTTGAACAAACATCTCCCTTTGACTTGAATGATTCCTCCTCCCACCCTTGAAAGCAGGGCAGTCAAGGTCAGTTTGGGTTTTTATGATTGTTATTTCTTCTGCTGCACAGATGCCCACGCTGCTATATGGTGTGCTGTGTGGGGACAAGGGTAAGCCAGAGAGGGCTCTGGCCACTCTGGGGGAGTCTGAGCTGAGACCCTAAAGATTTAGCCAGCAAAGAGGGTCAGAGAGTAATTGTGGAGAGAGAGAACAGTGTATCAAAAGTTCTGGTAGCAAGAGAAGACTTGTCTGGTTGGAGAAACAGGGGGAAAGGTAGGTGGGGCAAGAGGGTGAAGGTGGGGGGTTAAGGTAGGGTGGAGAGAGTTAGCCCGAGGACAGATCCCATAATGCTTCGCATGTCTCACAAAAAAGCTTGTACTCAGTCCTTCCAACAGTGGGGAACCATAAAAGGATATTAAAAGGGACATACCTTTAATGAGGGCTCATGTGTTTTCTACTGCCGATGAGGCCCCTCCCAACCCTACCCTTCCTTGCTCTCATCTTCAAGTCTGACAGGAGCACCCTCATCCCTCTCTGATAAACCATCGTCCCTACCCCCACACCTCTGCAAAGCCTCAACTTGAAACACCATCTCTCTTTTCTTCCCACAAGGTGGACAAACTCCCTGAAGCCACCCTTAGATTTTCTTTGTTGAGAGAATGGCAGAGCAAGGTCCTATTTCATAGTAAGTCTGGAGTCCGATAGCCTGGGCCCCTTGCTTACCAGGTGTGTGATTTAGGGCAGCGCCCTTAACCCTTCTGGGCCTCTGTTTCCTTATCTGTAGAGATGAGAGTTGAACATACCTCCTAGAATTGCTGAGCAATGGAGCTGTGTGGACACATGAAGCCCTAACGTGGTGTCTGATACACACGAGGGAGTAAAGTGAGGGACAGGCCTGCTTTTATCTACCTGCTTGTGTAGGTAGATCAGTGAGCATCTATGGCCAGAAACTGTGGCTCATTGTTCACTCTATCCTTGGCTCCTGGCTCAGGACCCAGCAGGTAGGTGTTCAGGAAATATTCATTGACTTCTGCTATCATTTGGGGGTTTAGAGATGCCCTTGAAGATTTCTTTGCAGTCCACAAACAAATATCCAGGTTCAAGCCCTGCCATTATCCTGTGACTTACCAAAGTCGCTGAGCATCAGCCTTTTTTTTTTTTTTAAGATTTTATTTATTTATTTGAGAGAGAGAGAGAGAGAGAGAGAGAGAGAGGCAGAGACACAGGCAGAGGGAGAAGCAGGCTCCATGCAGGAAGCCAGACGTGGGACTCGATCCCAGGTCTCCAGGATCATGCCCTGGGCCGAAGGCGGCACTAAACCGCTGAGCCACCTGGGCTGCCCAGCATCAGCCTTCTTCATTGTAAAATGAAAGTCTACTTCCTAGGTTGTCATGGGGGGGAACAAATGGGATTGGCTCCAGGGATAGAACATGTGGCCCTGTTTTGGTCAGTGAGATAAAAGGGGAAGTCTTCCAAGAGCTTCTGGAAAAGATCTTGCTCACTGATAAAAGAGAAAGCCAGATGAGATGACTTTTTTTTTTTTTTTTTTAACTCCTGCCTTCTCTTCCTGTACATTGTCATAGGAAGATGAGATGATTGGAGCTGCTGCAGCCATCTTGCAAACAGGAGGACAGATCTTCTAGACTTGTCAGAGACGGCATAGGAAAAAGATCTCTGGGCTTTGGTGGCATATAAACTGAATAAATAACTCAGAAATCACTCATCTCTAAACTTGTAAAGTTAGACAATAGATGTTTAGGTCACTTAACCCACTCTTTGTTGGGCATCACTATTTGTGGCCACAAGCATTCCTAATTGATACTGTGTCTCTAAGTGGTATAGCATTTAGCATTCCTCATCAAAAGAAGCACAGAGGCTAAGAACATCAGCTCCTTTATTAGTATTATTTACTGTTATTTCCCCCCCTAAACAACAGCACAATTCAAATAACAATGACACACACATCCCGCTCATATACATAATACCATTAGCCTGCCTGCCAGCCTGTCTGGCCTTTGCTTGGTTCCTGGCGGAGCTGTTTGGAGACAGCCCCCTCTGTAAAAATCCCAAATTGGACATAGGAGGCACAAGAAAGGGGGGACTTTAGCCAGAGAATAAATGGGCATCCAGAGTCCTCAGGGAGTGCCAACTTGGGGACATGCTATATAAATGCTTGGATGAAGAGCAGAAGGCACTATTTTCATGTGGCTGTTGAGTAAATCCCATATATGGGGATGTAAGACCTATCTATAACCCTTTGCAGGCCAGGGCTGCTGAAACACAGTAGGGTGAGTTCTAGGCTCCAACCACCAAACCATGGGGCAGGCATGGAAAGTAGGAGCCCAGAACAGGAAACTGGGTGACAGGAAGGTCCCCAGAGAAGAGCAATCCTTGCATTTGCTGCAAAAGGAAGATACAGTGTGAAATGTTATGTCCCCTTTTATCTGTTTTGCAGCTATAGAATGTGCAACATTTTCATTATGATAGAAAAGGTAAAGAAAAAAAATCTCCCAGCATTTTGGCCTAATGCAACTGAGCATGACCTGCCAATTGCGCCATCCTGTGGAAAAACCTAGAACTACACTATCCAGGGAGTCTGGTCAGTCCACCCCCACCCCTAACATTTTAGTCACACTAAATCTATGAATTCAGCTAAAGTAATGTACTCTGGAATCAGAGAAGCCTTGGGGTTGGGGAGGGAAAAAGATGGGTCGAGACTGGGTTCTCAGGAACAGGTGACTTCCTGGCTGTCTTGGGGAAGCTCATTGTTGAAGTTGCTCTCTCCAAATGGTGAGTAAGGGGGAACCTGGGGAGCTTCGATGATCAGCAGGCCTTCTGGGGAAAGTGAGGCAAATACTGTCACAGGATCCACCTCTGCGGGAAGCCTAGGAGAAGCACAAGATATTATCCATGTGTTATTATTATTATTATTATTATTATTATTAAAGATTTTATTTATTTGAGAGAGAGTGAGAGGGAGAGAGCATGAGCTAGGTGAGGGACAGTGGGAGAAGCAGACTCCCTGCTGAGCAGGGAGCCCGACGCCAGGCTCTATCCTGGGACCCTGGACTCATGACCTGAGTGGAAGGTAGCCACTTAAGTGACTGAGCCCCCAGGTGTCCTCATGCATTATTTTTAATATAGCTTAAACATCCTTTTGTTCATTTGGAAGAATATAGTTTTGACATGAGTTCAGGTTCTGAGGGCATCCACCGCTGGGTCTGAATCCCAGATCTGCCCCTCGCTAACTGTGTGATCTTGGGAAGGTCACTCAATTGCTCTGAGTTTATGTCCTCATCTGCCAATGGTGGTAGCAGTGTAAACGTGTGCAGTATTTGAAGTGAGACAGAGTCTGAACAGGCTTTGCAAACAGTAAAATGGTGGTTCCAACAGTAATTTAAAAGATCGCCATGGCCCAGATGTTTGGTCTTTGGTTGAGGTCTCTACCCACATCTGCCCAGCTGTGGGCGGAAATGGCCAATACTACCGTCCTGTAATAGAACATAGGTAAGATGCTACAGCAGGTAACAGGTTCTCATTTGCCATGTGTCTGCTTAAAGTGCTTTACTACACAAGCATCACTGGCAAATTAACGACAGAACAGGCTGGCCACATGGGAACATTCTCTTACGCTTAGGATGAGCCTTGATTTGGGTCACAGCTGAAGTACCCCTTAACAGGTCATAATTGCTTTTTCCCCCAAACACATTTATAGGAAATGACCTGGTCAGAACTGTATAAAGAGCCCAGAACACTTAATAGGTAGGAATGAATATGCCCATTGCAGAGAACATTTAGCAAAGGCTTGGGGTAATCAAGTGGAAGGCTCAGTGAGTGAGAGCCTCAAAGGGATTTCTGAATCCAACTCTGGTTCCAGTTCTGAAGCTATTTTTTTATGAGTTTTTGATTGTTTGGGGTGAATGAGACAATCTGGGACCTGGCTCCTTCCACTAACTACCGGAATTGTGAGAACATGTTCATGGCTTCATTTGGATGCCATTATTAATAAAGATTATGAAAACTAGGACCTTCTGAGCACTTTCTATGTGCCAGGTACTTCGCGTGTGTATCATTTCATTTAATCGTTAACAATAATCCCACCAGGCAAGTTCTGTTACCGTCCGAATTTACAGACAAGGAAATTGAGGTCAGAGAGGTGAAGTGATTTGCCCAAAGTCACACTGCTGGTAAGCAGCAGATGGGAATGGAATTGGAATCTTGGTCTCCAAACTTAGAGTAGCTGATCATGATGTTCTAATAACTCCCCTGGTACCAGACTTTTTGGAAAAAAAAAAAAGGAATGCCAGAAGGGTCAATCAGCACAGATCTTTCCACTTATCCAGGATGGCCTGGCTGTTCGAATTGCAGAAGTTTTGATGAAAGGACCAAGCAATGAGGCAAACCCATTCCTGGCCAGGGCAGGATCCTTCCTGAAAGGGGGTGGGGAGTTTCTGCTGTGAGTAGCAACATGTAGCCACATGAGCAGCATCTACCCAGGAGACTTACAGAGCCACAGAGATTAACGAGGGACCCGCTGGGAAGGAGGGAGGAGAAAGCGGGAGCTTGGGCAGATGCCAAGTCAAACTTCTGAAGCACAGAGGAGGCCTAAAGTCTGGACCTCCCTCCCACTGTTGGGGATGGGCCGACTCTGTTTAACTATTTGTAGGCTAACTGGTAGCACACCTGGTACGATGGGGCAGGGCAGCTGTGAGCCAGAGCATGGCCTTTTGCAGGCAGGCAGACCTGAGTTCAAATTCTGATTCTTCCTGACTGTGTGACCTTGGGCTTGTGACCTAGCCTCTCTGAACCTATCTCCTTATAGGAAAAGTGGGTTAACGATGTTCACCTCTTAAGGTAGTGCAAGAATTAACACAGGATAATGAGAGAAAAAGGCTTGGCCCAACACCTGGCATACAGTAAGTGCTCAATAAGTGTTAGCTTCTACATCGTTACTGCAGTCATGACTATTCAAGTGGGCACCTTGGTGGCTGTGTATATTTTAGCACAAGTGGTCGTATCACTGAACCATAAAATGCCAGAACCCAAAAGAATCTCCTTGATTGTTCAGGACAGTGCTCTCATATTTACACCTACGGAAACTGAGGTCCAGAGATGGGAATAGACTTGTTCAAGGTCTCTCACCAGATGACCTGTACATTGAACCTCCATGGTAGGAAGATTATTCCTCTTCCATTCTCTTTGAATCCTTCCATTTGCATCCAAAGGAACATCTCAACTAAATGTAAACATGACTTTAACACCTTTAGCCTCTATCCCTTGCTATTTTCTGTTTTTTAAGAAAGAGAGGGCTGATCTAAGGCTTGGATCCTTTTAAGCAGACAATGCTATCTATTTAACTGCATTTTTCTTTCACTGGATTTGTTTTATGATTGCCCTCTTCAGCGAACATTTTAGCAAAGGGAATTTAACTTTCTCAAAAGTGATCTAATCAAAAAGAAAAGAAATCTTAAGCAAATAATAACATGGGAATATAAGCATATAAGGCAAAAAGTAGTTGAAGATGGTCTGTGAATGACTGCAATATGGTCTCCCCTACCCAGGTAGGAAGGCCATGGCCTTTGAAAGTGGGGAGACCTGTGTTCAAATCCCAGATCTGGCTCATGACTAGCTGGGTGACCTTTGTGGAATTCCAAAATCCCATTGAACTTCAGTTTTTTCATCCACAAGGTGGGCTTAATAATACCCACTTCATAAGATTCTTTTAAAAGTGGAATAATATTAAACTAACCCCTTCTTTAAACCTAACTCCCTCTTCACATGGCTCTTGACACACTGCAGGTGTCAGTAAATGGCAGAACAGATATCTGGGAAGATGTGGAGCAAGGAGCTAAAGTTTGCTTTGGCTCTGAACATCTTCCATGGATGATTTCCTGTATCCCCTGCTTCCTGTCCTCTCATCCAAGTTGGGTGTGGAAAGACCCCATCCACACACAAGTCTTGCCCTGCCTCCCGAACCTGATCAGCAAATTCCAAGGCCTCTCCTGCTCCCCCTCATCCGGTCAAAATGGCACCTTTCACATGGGGTTGGATGTGTTGGCAAGAATTTCCTAGCCGTGACAAAGGCAAACAGCTGTAGCATCCTGCCTGGGAGGAAATCTCCAAGGATCTCAGTCTGGCTGAAGGAGCTTCCCTGTCCTCTGATGACTAGAGTTTTTCCTGGGAGAGGGAATGGAGCCTCCTGAGTGTGGGCCAGGGCCATCCTTGGTGTCTAGAGTCTGGGCAGAGCCAGGGCATCCCAGGAGGTCCCAGCTGCTCTCATGTGACTCCAGCCTTGCAGAATTTTTAAATAACATTAGTCCCCACGAACTGAATGCTGAGTCTGGACCCCATGCTAAATGCTTTACACACATCCTCTCATTTGCCACCCCAACTCTGTCCACGAGGGGATCTGGGGACAGAAGCTCAGAGCTGTCAAGGTATCTACTTTCTTTACCAAGGAACCAGGACTCCCTACACCCAGAGAAGCTTCAAAATACTTAGCAACTGGCACAACTAGACAATGACCAGCCAGAATGGATGGAAACATGCCATAGTGATGGAGGAGGGTGCTGGGGACCCCTTGTTGTTGGAATGTGGGAAGGTTCAGAGGGTCCTGGGGACAGGATAGGGATGCTGGGCTGGCAAGGGAGGGCACTCGGGGGGTGCTCACGACAATGGCTAGTCTAATACTGTAACAAGTAGCTCAGCTCAGCTGCTGGACCCCAGCTGTGCCTTGAGCAGCTTTAGGCATTTCTATCTAGTCAAGTCACCCCAGCAAGCTGCTTTCCCAGAGGCCTCAGAGATGGGGAAATCCACATTTCATAAAGATGATTAACTCCCTGACTTCTTTCCATCTCCTTCCACAGTGCTGTCCTGCCTGTGACTCCATCCTGAGACCTTATTTGAGTCTCTTCAAAGAAACATCAGCTCCCCCTGCATTTTCCCCCCTTTCCTTTCCCCTGTCCCTCTCAGCAGCCTTTGATCTGGCTGCTGTTGCGGGGGCGGGGGGGGGAGTGTTGGGGATGGCAGGCGAGCCAGCAAGCGTGAAGACAGTTAGTTAGCCGTTTGCCTTATGAGGAAGCGTCTATGGGGTTCTAAGGACTCCAGAGGCGCTGGGTGGGTCAGTAATGGGCACAGGGCAGGAGAGAGAGGACTGCAGAATCCCAAAGCTGAAAGAGGCCTCAGGATTCAAGCCAGCACACTCTCTTCCAGCCCCAGGAAATTTTCTTTTCTCTCTCTTTTTTTTTTTTTTTGGCCAGGGCTAGAGGTGGAGTAAAGTGTTCAACAACATGGATAAAGGGAACAACAAACTGCCACTTGTGGGGACCTACTGTGTGCTGGTGGCTGTGCCATGATTTCATTTCATTCCCAGCTGGTGGCTCTGGAATCACCAGCCACCCCGTCCCTTTTACAGGTGAACAAAGGGCATCCCTTGCTCCAGGCATGAGCACTGAACTCAGAGTTCAGGGATTGGTTTGGGGCTGTCCTAAATTCGAATTCTCAGGACTCTGGGCAGGTCTCTTCACCTCTGGGAACCTCTGGGATAGTTTCCCCATCATACAAGGAGGGTATGATGATTAAATGTGTGGCCTGGGACAAGACTTTGGGGCTAGAGTATGTGCAGTGGAGTGCTGCTAGGTAGAGGGGCGTCTGGGAAGAGGTGTCCATTAGCTCCTTGCTGTGTAGACTTCCTCCCCACAGCTGTTGCCATGAGGGCCCCTGTGTGGCTTTTATTCACTGGCCCGGCCTGGTGGTTTTCCTGCTGCTGGCATGGTTCCCCCGGGTCCAGCCCTGCCCGCACCTCTCAGCCAAAACTGCTCCCCATGCATCCCAAAGTCTCAGCCTCCAGAGCCCTCCCAGTGGGCAACAGCAATGCCATGATCTCTTCTGGCTTCATTCCTGTGGACACTCTAGGGAAGGCCCACACTGTCCCGGTGGTGGGCCCCTTAGGTCCCCCCTTGCAAGCAAGCTTCACAAGATTCTTCTGGGCATTTGGGCATCAGGGGAAAGTCTTTCCTGATGGTGATGGGGATCCTGCCCAGGCGGACCACACGCGTAGGAGAGTGGCCTGGTTTTCATGGAATCACAGACAAGTCATTTTGCCTCTCGGACTCTTCATTTACAAACTGGTGCCATTGTTAATTCCCACCTCACAGGGCACTGAGCAGGTGTGACAGCATAATTTATGCCTCCCCCACTTTCTGGGACCCAATGGCAGGTTTGCTGTGACATTTTTCTCCCCTTTAGGTGGGAGGGTTCAATTCTCTCCCCTGGGGCTTATCTTGGAAGAGAGAGAGATGCCCAAGAGGGAGACACTCCAGATCTTGGGTCCCAGGCACTACTCACTCAGTCACCCCCACCCTGGAACCCACACCACCAGGTTACTTACTGGATTTTCTTTGTGAAATTCTTGGAAACGATGCCACCTTCTTGTTGCTTCTCTTCGTGTTTGCCTAGAAGGGAGAAGAATGCCATATGTAAGAATATATGTCCTCTGGACTTCGGTCGGGACTCAGACTTGGGTTCGAATCCTGATCCTGCCCTACCATTTGGCTCGGGGCTCAGTCTGGAGACACCAGGTGTCTGAGTCTCTCTGGTCCCTCATCTACTAAATTGACCCACCTGCTGTTGTAAAGCTGAAATGAGACAACAAGCCAGACAGGAGACCTTGATGGTGGTTTGGAGACAGTTATGAGTTAGATTTAGGAAATCATGAAACTGAATCACATGTTGCACTGTATCTTCTAAGCCTTGCACCTTCACCCCTTCCTCCTAGTCAGCCACACGAACCCAGAGGCTAGCATCCCAGGAGGCATGGTAGGAAAGAAGTGGGGTCACGTACCGAGGGTTGGTTTGCCACCCAGTGGGCTTTACAACTCACAGGGCCTTTGCTAGCTCTGAAGGTGGGCATCTTTTCCCCTTGCTTACTGATGGGGGAACTGAGGCACAGTCACCACCAGGCCTGGCTGTGAACCAGCTCCCCCTGAATCTACACCAAGTACTGGGGTCTCATGCCTCTCTTTCTGTTCCAGCTTGCAATTAGCTCTTTGAGCCACATTATCCATACTTACAACGGATGAACTGCCTGGAAATAATGCTTCAATCTGCTAAATTAAAACAAAAACAAAAACAAAAAACAACAAGACCCAGAGTCTCCAAAGGGAGCTCTCCTTAAGAAATGGCCCATTAGACACCACAGATTTGAAATTCCACCTGCCCTGCCTTCTACAGGGTAACAGGGGAAGGCAGTTTTTTCTTCCTCAGGAATGAAAAGATAAGATTACAAGGTTTGGGCCCAAACCAGCTATCACCTTGCAATTTATATAGCAACGTTTTTAAAAAAAATTATTTATTTATTTATTCATGAGAGACACAGAGAGAGGCAGAGACACAGGCAGAGGGAGAGGCAGGCTCCATGCAGGGAGCCCGACGTGGGACTTGATCCTGGGACTCCAGGATCAGGCCCTGGGCTGAAGACAGACCTCAACCACTGAGCCACCCAAGCGTCCCTATATAGCAACTTCTGAGCCTCTTGGCTGCTCCTTTTTTTTTTAAATGGAGAGAACCTCTAATTTCTCTCTCTTTTTTAAAGTTTTTATTTATTTATTTGAGATAGATAGAATAAGCATGAGATGGGAAGAGGGGCAAAGGGAGAGGGAGAAGCATATTCCACACTGAGCAGGGAGCCTGACAAGGGGCTTGATCCCAGGACCCTGAAATCATGACCTGAGTTGAAGGCAGCTGCTAAACTGACTGAACCACCCAGGTGCCCCTCTAATTTCTCTTTAAATAAACCAGAGTAGTGCCCAATAGAGGCTTCCAGATCCTATCTTTATTCGTTCATCTGTGGGGTCACATTCCCTGGCCAAGAACCCTCATGTGTCCAGGGACACTCTTCTGAGAAGCTTTGGAATCCAGACTGTAAATAACCTTGTGGGATTTTTTTGCAGCCCAGGTTTATTAAAAAACTGACAATTAATAGGTGATTCCATTATTAATTGCTTTTTAAATTATTAATAATTGCCTTATTAATGACTGTTCTGATATTAAGATAATACACGTATTATTCTAGAAAAATATAGAAAATAAATAAATGATCGAAACCACCCATAATCCCATCACCCCAATAAAACCACATTTTTATATATGTTCCAGACTTTTCTTTCTATGTTACTTAGGCACACATAAATGTTACATAGTATAGATGTATATGACGTATTTTAGCAAATGGGATCCTATGTTATGCTCAAAACTGTTATCTCTTGCTAACACATTATAATTATTTTTCCAGGGATGCCTGGGTGGCTCTGCGGTTGAGCGTCAGCCTTTGGCTCGGAACGTGGTCCCGGAGACCCGAGATCGAGTCCTACGTCGGGGTCCCTGCATGGAGCCTGCTTCTCCCTCTATGTCTCTGACTCTCTCTGTGTCTCTCATGAATAAATAAATAAAATCTTTAAAAAATTATTTTTCCATGTTACACCAAATATTCTTCCACAAGAATAATGGTTGCACAGCATTCCGCTATAGGGATACCTAAGTTCATTTGCCAATCCCTGGCTTTTGGGCACTGCAGTGGGTATCTGACCTTGGAAAAAACCTCACTGCACCAAATATTCTTACAGCTGGATCTTGCATCTGGCCTGATGACATCCTTAGGATAAATTCTAAATTCTAGAATGCCTGAGCCTTGATCTGTGATGCTATACTGCCCTTACGAAAGGCTGTATCAGTGTATTCTCTTACGGGCTGAGCAGAAGGGGGTTCAGGGATAGGAATTCGTTTTTGAACTAGAGTGTCTGGTTACCCAGAACACACAATGATGTGAAGGTGCTGCTGCTGGGAGAGTTGATTTGGACCTGCCAAGTCCATGTACCAATTGTCCAGCTCTAACCCAGGCCTGTGGCCAGGGGAGCACTGTCTGTGCCCTGACACCCTCCCCACGGCTTGGGCCTCCAGAGGCCTGCTTCCTCTGGGGACTGGCCAGTGCCTCTGACTCAGCCCTTTTGCACACTTGGTGTCCTGAGAATAGTAAACAATGATGATGATCAAAAGAATAGCAATAACAGACTCTTATATAGTGCTTACTTGGTGTCAGCCACTGTCCCAACCCCTTACTATGGCTACTTTAATTTTCACAACCTTAGAAGTCAGGGACTTTCGTGATTACCCTTTTGTGGACGGGGAATGGAAGTTCAGAGAGGTTAAGTGATAAGCCCAAGGTCACACAGCTTGGAAGTGCCAGAGCAGAGGTATGTAGGTTTTGGACTTTAGTCCCTGCTCTAACATTTGTGAGCACATCTCTACTCTTCTCTGAGCCTCAGTTTAGTCTTCTCTCTATAATGGGGTGACAACAGCTTCCTAATTATTGGGTTGCTGAGCAAATGAGCATGAGTCACAGAATTGTTTTCTAAGTTGTGAAAATGCTGTGTGAAGGCGATGGTTTGTGGCTTATTTTGATGTTCGGATAAAGGACAGCTGCTGAAAGGCTAAGCTGTCCTATCCATGCCCTGAAAATAGGGTACTGGGGTTAGGGAGGGGAGGATCTCTGAGCAGGCACAGCTCCAAGATTTTCATAAAGAGGAGCCTGGTTGAAAATGGATGTTGCTACCCGAGGCTCATCGTGAAGCTTAATTTGCATATAATTTGAATATCTATTTATTGGGGCAGCTTAAGGATTATGAGTGATTTTTTAATTTCTTATTTTGCTTTCCCATCTACATTTTCTTTTTTTTTCTTTTTTTATTTTTTATTTTTTTCCATCTACATTTTCTACTGTGGAAATATTTTATTTTTGTAAACAGAAAAAAGTAATTATGATTCTGTTTTTTTTTTTAAAGAACTCATCCAGAGGCCAGAGCAAGCCAGAGGCCCCTCACAGCTACTATTTTTTCAGCATGCCTCAGAGAAATGTAGGTGCCAAGAAGCAGGCATCAGCACTTCGGGGAAAGCCATTGGCCCAGCTAAAGAAAGAAGGTGCTGTTTCCAGGGGAAGCAGAGGCCCTGGGATTAAGGAGAAGGGGTGGGAATAAGGCCTCTGGGTTTTCCAGTTCCTTCTTGGCTGGGACCTAGCCCAGTGGCCCATGAAGAGAACATTCTTGGCTGGTGGCTGCAGGGTGGGAATTGGGGTGTATAAGGCATCATGGAAAGCATCTAGTCTAGCATTTTCCAAATACTTCCTTGGAACTGGACACTCAAATGTGGTCAGATAAGACAGGGCTGCCTCCAGAGATCCACAAACTACTTTAGTAAATTCAAAGCTCTGATAAGGCCTGCAGTGAGGAGACCTATTGATCATTTTGTTTCCTCTGGCACCTTTTGAAATTCCAGACTGCCTATCCTGCATTTCTTAGATGCCTATTGATATCTTAAAATGTACCATTTGGCAAATACTGATTTAGTTCAACTCTTCCTAAGACCAGCAGCAAAACCGAGGGCCAAGAGGTGGCAGGATTTGTCCAAAGCCGCATCATCTGAAGAAAACTCAGCCATCCTGACTCAGAACTGTCTAAGCAGGCCTGGCTTTGAATTGCAATGTGCCATGGAGGATCTCGGTGGTCTTAGGTGAGTTACTCTCTCTAAGCCTCAACTTTCTCACTTGTAAAGTGGGTATCACAAATCTACCCATATCTCCTTGAAAGTCCATGTCAGGAACCAGGGAGTCAACATACAGAGGCATTTAGCATGATGCCCTGCACCAAGTGCTTGAGACCGAACAGGTCTGTCATTATGTGATGCAGGGTGAAAAACTGGATCTGATTTTAAATGGAACCCCAATATCAATGTGATTTCTTGAATCCATTTTCTGAGAGTCTCTATATGTACTCTCAGGGGATTTGGATTCTGTCAAAGCTGAGGTAGCTACGTGCACACCTAGGAGGCATTTTACAACCTAAAAAGGCTTCGTCTATCTCACTTAAGTGCTCAATGACCCCATTTTAGAAATATGGAAACCGAGGCTCCACGACTCACTCAAAGCCTCTTGAGGAGCCGCTGGATTTGTAAGGTACACTCAGCTGGTGTCTCAGCCTGGAGCTGCCACAGCCCAGTTATTAAGAAGCACCCAGAAAGGAGAACGGAGGAAATATCCTCCATGAGACCACGGGGCACGGGAAACCGTCCGACCTGGGGTGGAAACCTCTGGAATCCTAGTTAAAACAAAGAATTTCTGATTAAGACAATTTCTGTTTAAAGAGTGCCAGGTGGACACTATTATTAGACCCATTTTACAGACTCTCTGCACTTACTATCAGAGATTGTCTGCATGTATTTTTAATCTTCTCTACAGACTTGCAGGGCCAATCATCATGCTCCCCATTTTGCAGAGAAGGACACTGAGGCTCAGAGTATTGAGAAGACTTTCTTGTCCATATCCATCCGGCAGGGTCGGGATCTGAACCCAGGTCTCAAAGAGCATCTACCATTTATGGTTTACTGGGGCCTTACTCTGGGCGTAGCATTTTAGTAACAGCAGCGTCACAGCAAGATGAATACTAATCCCCCTTGCTCCAAGCAGCAGGTCCACATTTGACACACATCGGCTCATGTCATACAACAACGATCTCCATGCAGTGTAGCCACTGGCACCCCGATTTCCAGATAAGGAAACAAAGCACAGAGAAGATAAACAATTTGCACATCCTGCTGGTCAGTGGCAGAGCCAGTTTGAGAACTCCGGCCTGGCTCTGCAGCCAACTCAGGAAGCCCTGGCTACACCCCTCCATCCCCACGCGGCCCCAGTGTGTCTCCTGTGGCCCACCACACCTGGCCCGAGCCTCTGATGTTTATATTTCTGCCCTGCGAGGCTTTGAAACTCCCCCTACACGGCGCCCTGCCCTACCGGGCTTGTCTCTGCCCAGCCTGGCTTTGCAATGGCTTTTATTGATTTTCTGGCCTGGAGCCTGCCAGACACTCTTTTTAATGGAGCATTAATTGGGAGGGAAGAGAGAGGAAGCGGATCCCGGCTACCCGGCTTAATGGGGACTGAACCTCTGGTCTCCTCTTCTGGGATGTGACCTGGGCCTGGAGTCCTGGGCAGGCCCAGACTCTTCCTGCTGCTGACTCATGGTGTGACCCGGGCCAAGTCCTGCTTGGGCCTCGGCCTCCTCAGCTGTAGAATGGGAGTAGAGGGCCCACGTCTCAGGGCTGGAGTGAGGGAGGATTATTTGGTGGCAAGAATATAAGAGTCTTAGCCCAGTTCTTGGTACCTAGCAGGCGCTCAGTAAATCATCAAATTGCTTCTGGCCTTCCAGTTTCCAAGACAGCCTGGGGTAGAATCCAGGAGGCCATGGGCAAGTTACTTTAAGCCTTCTGTGCCTCAGTTTCCTCATCTGTAAAAAGAGGAGACAAACAGGCCCCACCTCCTCCAGTTGTTCGAACTGAGATGCTACAGGTAAACCGTGTAGCAGAGAGTAAGCGTTCAACCAAGCTTACCAGTCAGTATCGTTAGAGTGACAGTCATGCCTCAGTTTCCTTATCTGGGACAGGGGAGGTGTGCCTCTTGAAACCTGTGCTGATTATGCTCTATCATGCCACAGCATTAAACACACCCTTCTAGATTGTGCTGTGACACCAGGGTGCCAAGGGCCCTATCTCTTCTTTGCGTGTGTATTTCTTCTCTTTTGATTTATGTTTTATATTATTATTCTTTTTTTCTGTCAAAACGTGTGACGTGGTTTCCATTTCCCTGCCTGTCCTCTGATTGAGACAGCACCCAAAGCCCCCATCAGCTGGGTCGGGTTGAGGCATCTCCTGGAAGCCAGGAGAGGAGTGTTTTTCCATAGATAACTTCTATGGGCTGCATTCCTGAGCCCTGAAGTCACCTGTGTCACACGCTGCTGTCACAGCTCACCCTCTAAGGGAACGTTCTCTTGGCTATTCCCTATTCCCGGGGCTGAGGCCTACACCCCTCTCGGGGACCTCTCTCACTCCTGCCCCTCACTCACCAGACACCTCCACGTATCCATCCTTGGTCTTCACCATCAGCTCCTCTGGCTTAAAGCTGTGCACGTTGACACACACTTTCCAGGGCTCCCCGGGGAAGGGTGGGGGACTCCTGCCCTCCGCAGGTACCCCAAACCTGGCTGCGGCCGTGGGCCCCCGAGGCACCATGCCTGACCTCAGGGTCCCAGGCCACCCGGTGGAAAATCGAGGCAGGGCCCAGTTGCGCCATGAGGAAGTCAAGTCGTCGGGGAAGGGGTCCATGCCAAAGTCATCATCCAGCAGGCGGGAGGGCAGGGGCGAGTCTCGGAAGGGGTCGCGGCGCAGGCGGCTCGGGTAGTGGCAGGAGAAGGGCATCTGACCGTCAGCCATGGCTGCGGAGGCTCAGGGAGAGGGGGCCACCTGCCAAGGTCACCCAGGAGGTGATACGGGTGCGCTGGCCCTCCAAGCTTACGCTTCGGCTTCAGAAAACGCTGGACCATCCACTGCCAAGGACGGAGCGCGTGTACCCGGCCGGGGTCCCAGCCCCCGAAGCCCCTGCTCCCGGCGACGGCGGCAGCCCCTTGGGCAGGAGCCCGGAGCCCGAGCCCGAGCCCGAGCCGAGGTGCCTCTCGCGCACTGCCGCCCGCAGAGCAGCCCCGCCCGGCCAGGCTCTCCGCCAGCGCCGCTGGGAGGGCCGGAGCGGCGTCAGGAGCTTAAGGAACCCCGGCACGGAGGCCTAGAAACTTCTCCTAGCTTCTCCGGGGCGGGCGGAGAGCCTCTATTTATTGCTGCCTGGGGCCGGGGGCGGGTTCTGCAAGCGCCTCCTGTCACAGGAGTATTCGGAGGTGATGAACCAGCCCCCGAGAATCCGCAGGGAGCAGCTGGGCTCCCGGGGGCGGGGAGGGCCCGGCGGCCAGCGCAGCCCCAGCCCGCGGCCCGCCCCCCCCCGTCCCCCCCCCCCCGCTCCCTCCCCGAGGGCTCCACGCGGGCCGCAGAGGCTCCGCCGGCTATTAATAACCTAACCGCTCTGCCTGCTGAGGCTCGGGTCACCCCAGGCGTGCCTCCCCCCGCCCCCCGCAGAAGGAGCCCAGAGGGCTGGGAGCCCCGTGCACCTGGGCTGCCGTCCCCACTTAGAGCCCACCCGGGAGCCCGCCTTCAGCGTCCTCTGAGAGCAGTAACGTTATTCCCTTCAGCAGGAAACGGAGCTGTCGGTTTTCCCACCTGTAAAATGGACTTACTGGAGCCACCTCGGGGGGGTGTGTCACGAGGATCACGCGAGGATCGCATGCGGGGCCCCTGGGTGGCTCAGTGGGTGAGTGCCTGCCTTTGGCTCAGGTGGTGATCCCCGGGGCCTGGGCTCCCCCCTCTCCTTGGGCTCCCCACGGGAGGCCTGCTTCTCCTTCTGCCTATGTTTCTGCCTCTTTCTGTGTGTGTCATGAGTAAATAAATAGTCTTTGAAAAGGTATCGCACGAGGGAATCATCTTTAAACATTTAGCAGACTGACACATATTCAATTTTGAGTTCTCAGTTCCACAAGGCTTGCTACATGCTAGACCCTGTTCTAAGGGCTTTCCAAATATTAACTGGTTCAACCACAACAACCGTCCTGTTGAGGACACTGCCGTGGGAAGTGTTAACCAATGGTAGCCTCTATTATTAGTAGTCATCCTTGTATTATGACTGTTAATAATGCTAATTATCAGAAAGTGCTGTGCCAGGCAGCCTGTCGGGTCTGGAACGGGAACCCCAGAGAGGACCTTTCTGCTAGATTTCTATGCTCCTCCCACAGAGCTTGGAGAATGAACTTACAAACTGTGCATTGACCTAAGGGCCCCCCTGAGCTTGGGTGCCAGTCTTTGATCTGTCCCCAGCAACAGGCGGGCAGTTTGGGCATGCAGTCCTCCCTCTGTGGGCTGCAGGGTCTCAGCCCTGCCTTCCCGGGGGTGGGGGTGGGGTGGGGTGGGGGTGGGGGTGGGGTGGGGGTGTTAAGGAATTCAGTGAGTCACTGGTTGAGAAATCGGTTTGATGTTAGGCAGTGCCCGCATGAGGCCGTTTGCTAAAAATAATAGTATGGAGAACAACAGCCACCATCGTTTACAGCCTCCTCCTCTGTACCTGCCTCGGTGGGGAGCACGTGGCTGCCACTCTCACGTGAAACCCTCACAACAGCAGTGAGGGGGTTAGCACCACCCCCATTTTGCAGGTGAGGAAACAGAGGTGCAGAGCGTTGCCCCGTGCACAGGGCTATGGGGTGGCAGGGCCTCGGGGGCAGCACCCGGGTCCACGCTGAGCCGACTGGTGGATCCCCCCTCTCCCTCCCCCCACTGGCCGAGAGAGGGAGACTGAGGCGCCCCCCACTGCCCCTTCCCGAGTGACTGGGTCCCCACTTGACTCTGGTGAGATCATCGGGCTAGAAGCTTCAGGCTGACGTCATGGCTGGGCACCGCAGCCTCAGCTCTCCCCGTAATTACCGCCGGGCGGGGCGGCTGGGTTCGCAGCCCCAGTGGGGAGACGCACTGCGCGACACCGAGAGGGAAGCAGGCCCTGCCCCGGGACTGGGCTGGGGCCAGCCGGAGGCTTCCGAGTGGGTGGCCGGTCCCCGGTTCCTTTGTGCGTGGATCTGAGTGGGTGGAGCGGCTCGTGTGTTCATGCAGGGACCGGGCTGTGTTTATTTATGGATGAGTCGCTAATGGGTGAGTCCCGGAGGACCCTCCTTCTCCTTCCTCTCTAGGCTTCTCCCCACAACCCCACGGAGCCTTCTCATTTCAAGGATGCTTGTAGCACCGAAGCCAGCAGCAGAAGAGGGAGGCTGTGCAGCTAGAAAGCAGAAATAGCAATCATTAGCATTTACCCAGTACTTTCCACGTGCTGGGTTCTGTTCTAAGCCCTTTGAATTTATGTATATTAATTCATGGAATTCCCCCCCTACAACATTACAAGGAAGGGGCTTTTTTTTTTTTTTTAATTCCCATTTTACTGCCCAGAAGACCGAGGATCCGTGAGATTATGTGACTTGCTCAAGTCTACACATCCGGTTAAGTGGCAGAGCTGGGACTCAGACCAAGGCAGTTTGGCTCTTGACCACTCTGCTGCACTATCTCTCCCCTCCCCCACCCCGCCCCCGCCTTTTTTTTTTAAAGATTTTATTTGTTTATTCATGAGACACACACAGAGAGAGGCAGAGACATAGGCAGAGGGAGAAGCAGGCTCCCTGTGGGGAGCCCAACATGGGACTTGATCCCCGGACCCCATGATCACGCCCTGAGTCGAAGGCAGATGCTCAACCACTGAGCCACCCAGGTGCCCTGCACTATCTCTTATAATCACAGTCATGACTCACATTTATTGAGCACTGACTGTGTACCAGGCCATGTGCTCAGCACTTTTTATTTATGACCTCACTGGACCCTCATGGTTCAGAGAAGTGAAGCCACCTGTCACAGGCCACACAGTAGGGACCTGGGAGCCCCCAGTCTCATCCAGTGATCTTTCCACATGCTTGCTGTATGTTGTCCCCGCCCCTGTCCTCGCCCCCAGGTTCTCATCACTTTTCTGGGTCAGGCCACCCTTCCATTTTGGGAAGCTGAGGAAGGAGGCAGCTGTTCATCCTGTTGCTCCAGCCATCTGGAGAGGAGTCATAAACCCTACAGGCTGTCATTATCCAGATGAAAATATGGGACCAGGCCCAAGAGAAGCCAGAGAGGGGAAGGTGCCTCCAGGTTGGCTGTCCCTGGGAAGGAAAGACTCTGTGGAACCTGTGTGTTGAGGCAACAGTAGACCCCAGTTTCCAGAACAAGTGTTCTCTTGGCTACCTTCCTCCTAGAGCTTTCACATGGGAAGGACCACAGTTAATCCTCAGACAGATAGGCCTGGGGGAAGGTGATATCACCCTGCAGTCTGGGAAAGGGGCCCCAGGAGGGAGCAGCAGCAGCCTGAAGTCACACACGTTGGCTGCCCGATTCTGTGCTCTTCCTTTTCATGGCAACCAGACCCCACATTATCTCCTCCCTTAGATATTTCCAGCCCTAATTCTTGCCCAGCATCACACCCCTTTACCTGCAGGTCCAGCCCTAACTCTATGTGGCATGGGGGGTCTGTAGGTACTGAAGGAGGGGCCTCTGTGATTCCCTCAAAGGCATGGCTTTCTGGACCTCATTTTTGCTTAGTGTTTTCTCTGCAATTCTAGGGGTCTTGTTCCAGGCATGGAGGCCAAGCCTGGAGGCCTCCTGCATTCACTCAGGCTCCAGGTCCAGGAAGACTCGGGCCAGAGTGCCCTGCATTGGACACCCCTGGAGCCCAGCACCTGTTTTAAACAGGAGGTGCACATGCTCGTGTCGTTTATCCTTCCCTTTCAGACCCACAACAGGGACAGCACTAGGGGAATTTCCAGCTCACTCAGCTCCGGGAGGGTGGGACCCCTGGGTGTCTTGTTCACATGCAGTATCCGCTGCTCCTAGAAGGGTGCCTGGTGCATCGTAGGAGCTCAGCAGATCTCAGCCGAGCCGATGATGTCACGTTAGCAACCTGCCTCAGAATTGCCCTGCTCATGTGTGTCAGACCCAGTGCACAGTCACAGCATCAGAATATTAACTAAAATTTCCAGAGTACTTAGAAGGGGCCAAGCTAAATGATTTCCAAGTGTGCTGTTTATTTATTCCAGCCCCCCCCCCCACTGAGAAGTTCACCCTATCATCATCCCCATCTTCCAGATGAAGAAACTGAGGATCAATGTGAGGCCACTGGCTTAGGGCTTCTAAACTCTGCTGTGTGTCTCACTGCCTCAAGCCCAGTGCTCTTTCCTTCGCCAAACACTCCTGCAAAAACAGATGATTAATAAATAAATAAAATAAAATAAACAACCCACATGGTTCCTCCTTATGCAAAACAATGCCTTCACAATCCCACGCAGCTAATGCTTATCGATTGGGCTCTAGCTTCCTCTTACCATTATCTTCAAAATTCTTTCCAGGGATCATTTCCTCTGACCACCTCCACAGGTAATAATAATTATACCACTTATTTAACCTTTTGTAAGAGTCATATTTTGCACAAATCAATTTCTTTAATCCTACTCCAAACTGCTCTAAGATAGGTATGATCATCCCTGTTCACAGACAACAATATTGAGGCACAGAGAGCTTCAGAAACTCTCTCAAGCTCACCCTTAAATGAATGTGACACTTTTTTGAGCTGACGCCCCAATCGAGGCAGCCTGGCTCCAGGCCCTGTGCTCCTAGCCTCTACATGATTCTGTGAATAACAACTACCCAAACCACAAAACAGTAATGATCCCCACCATTATTTGAGACCTCTTATGTGCCAAGCTCTGCTAAATCCCCTATATGCCTTACCTCTCTTCATCCTCATGACAACCCTACGAGGCGGTAGTGTATTGTTAACCTCATTTTAGGATGAAAAGTCAGAGTCAGATCTGTGCTGTTTGATGGCTAAGCCAGTCCTCTTCGCTGCCCAGTGGGCTGTGCCATGTGGTCCCCACTGTATGCCTTGCCAGAGCAGGGGCTCTCGAAAACCAGAGGGACCCAACAGATCACAGCTGACCTTTAGGTCACCAGCCCACTTCTCCCTCTACCTTCTTGCTGGGCTCCTTCTCTGGAAACTTCTTTTAGCCCTTCCAGACTTTCCCAGTAGAACAAGTGACACCAGGAACTCATAGTATTTGAGAGTCTAAAGGCTGCCTGGGACAAGCCATCACTGGGTCAGCCAGAGGGATCCTTCTGTGTCACCAGTGTGAAAGCTGCTCA